ATGCTCCTTGCCTTCGGTCCCCCCATGGTTCCTTCCATTGGTTTACTCCTGCAAGCTATGCAAATATCATTTTCTTTGCTGCCCATCCTGAGAAAATGGTCAGGCAACACTGACTTAAATGACTACTGAGCTCCTTTCTCCCTCTGATGATCTCTGATTCCCTCGTTCCTTCACCGGGCCATTGTTTCACTTTGGCTATATATGTTCATATGTAGTCAGAGAACAGAAATTCCCTGGAATACAATTAAGTCACACCTTGTCATAGCAGAGCAAATTAAGCATGTGATTTATGAAAGAGTGCTTGAACTATTTGTTTTAATCATTTCCTATTTCCAAAATCTCCAGGACCCATTCACATACTTACGCATAAATACAGTGTCTGGGAGAGGATAATTATGGAAAGCCATATATCTTTGTAGTTGTTTTTTAACCATGGGGTTCTAAATTGCCTTTTGAATATTCCTACAGATTGAAAAGCAACTGACCTTCAGAAATCTAATGAAATGGACCAGCCCAAGAAAAATGAGCCACCAGTACGTCAAGGTGTTTATTCCTCAGTTCAAGATAGAGAAGAAATATGAAATTAAACGTTATTTACAAGCCCTGGGGCTGAGAGATATCTTCGATGAAACCAGAGCTGATTTCTCTGGCATAGCTTCAGGAGGTCGTTTATCTTTGTCAAAACTGATGCACGATTCGTACATAGAAGTTAACGAGGACGGCACAGAGGCGGCGGCTGTCTCAGAAAACACCATTGTAGAAAAGCTACTCCCCGAGTCTACCGTGTTCAGGGCTGATCACCCATTCTTATTTGTCATCAGGAAGAATGACATCATCTTGTTTAGTGGCAAAGTCTCTTGCCCTTGACAATCCAATTGGTTTCTATTATGATAGTCCCATCGATATCATGTGAATAGATAAAATTTAATGGGAAGCATATGGAGCTCCCTTTAGTTTACTTTCTCTCACATTGGTCAGCAGATGACTTTGGTGACTTGACCTTTCTCTGACACCTGGTTCATTATCCCCATCTTGCTCTTAGCATTTCTACCTCCGTCTTCCCTACCCATTTATAATTTCATTGTCTTTCTACCCACACTCATTTCTACCAGTCTACTCCATAGCCACTTGCACACAGTTCTGGGCATGGCATCTGGGAATTGTGGACATGTGCTCCACTGGTAATGACAATGTAGAAGCCACCCTAGAGATCTTTTCTGAAACTCTATAGTGTCCCCGATAGTCTAGTTTTATTGTACATGGTCTAGAAAATAAGCCCGCCTGCTAGAAATAAGTGTGAGGGATCACTTTTCCTTGCTGACCTAAGAAGACATTAGAATTGACTTGAACATTGATGTGAAATCAGTCTCTAATCTAAAAGCGAAAAAAATATGGATTTGGGATTGGGGGCCAACCAAATTATTTCACGAATAACTTCAAGTGAATGAATGTCTTTTGGCTTTTCCTTGATAGACACTTAATATGTACATAGTTTTTTCAAATATTAAATACCTTTTAACTGTTGCCAGTTGTTATGTACAGTGTATTATTTCATATGCTGTATAGTTTACATGTGTTTTCTCTATTTATCAGAATAAAGAAAAACAACATAACTATACCAGTGTGATTGTTCTCCTATGACCAATTGTGAGACTGCCAGCAATATATTTTTTCTAGGCTGAACAAGCAAGCAATGAAAAAAAAAGAATGCTTTACAAATATCTATCTGATTTCGTTAAATGTTGTTAATGTATTACACATGAAAGTTACTTTTACATCTACTTACATAGGCCGATGAGCTAATTTTAAATATGAGGACTTAAATTCATAAGGGGGAAAGATTAGCACCTATGGATATTTATAATAGTTTATAGGTAGCTTTACACAACAGATGAAAAATAAATTGAGAATCAGTAGACCACGTTGAACTTTCTAGTAGCCTATAGCATGGCTCTATGATGCTTCATGCTAGACCTGGCAGATACTTGACTTTCAACAAATATTGTGGAATCCATGAATATGGCATGAATGAGTGAATATGACATAATTTTAAAGACGTAGAGTATCTCCTGACCAAAATAATTTGGTCATTAACCTGCCACACCTGAAATGACTATGATGTCGTTCAGAGACCTTTGCAAGGAATGAATTTAACTGGTACGCAGTGGTATGTGTTTTGGGAGAAATTGGGTTTTCTGATTAACTCCATTTCCAACGATTGCCATTCAAGTATAACATATTCCTAGACTCTGTCTTTAGAAGGACTTCAGTTCCCCATTTGTAGAATTAATTTGGGAGGCTGATAGTTTTCTTCTCAAGTCTGTGACTCTTCTTTGAGTTAAATCCATAATCCCTAGAAAGGAGGAGGAAAGATAAACATTATTGAATACTTTTTCTATTTAGAGGCTTTATTACCATCATCACATTTAACACTCACAACAACCTTGTTGTATCTGCTATTATCCCTATTTAATAACTAGGTTCAGAGAAGTCAAGTTAGTTACATATATGACAAAAGGCAAAGTTCATGTTAAAACTCAAGTGTGTCTGATTTAAAAGCTCTCTCTTATAAAGACCCATGGTGGGCCACTTCAACTAATTGTCTTTCATGTTTTTTGGATTACGTGGATCCAATTAGAATAATCTGCCATAGCCAGAGGAACGTTTTAGATTGTAGGGTGACCATGTGATTTACCAGGTAACAGATTTCCCAAACGGTTGGGCAAAAGGCAAGACGAAAAAAAGCAACCAATGGGTCAAGTGCCTTACAGACTCTGAGAAACAGGTCCTGGTCTGTACATTTATTTTTATTTTCTGTGAACTTGAACCCTACTTGGCCCCCAGTTTTTGCCTGCTCCCCACTCCATTCCTACTTATATGACAAAAGGCAATAGAAATATACTGATGTCTTAGAGGATTTTACTTCCATGTTGATGTGAACAGAGTGATGGCTTTTCAAGCAAGTGGGAACATTTCTGGTCCCTATAAAACATCAACCACACGCCAGCCAAATTATTTAAGTTTGCTCTTCTCTGTGTAGGAATTCTTTAGGCTGCTTTACTGGAACTGCACCCCTTGGCCCAGAGACATTGCAGCTGGGCTTCCGGATATTGGCAAGACATTCTATAAGTTAAGTTGTCAGGAGAAAGACTTACAACTTTTCTATTTATATTCTCACTACAACCCAGCAACTTCTAGTTTTCCTTTTCAGAAGCTCCTTTAGAAACCTCATTATATAGAGTCTCCCCTTTTAGACCTCCAGGATAAAGAAGGCCTTTTCTGAAGTACAGCTGTCCAGGGGCACAGCAAAGGGGCCCTCTGCATCCTCTTTAGGGTCATCCCTTCTTTTGTTGGGTCCCTCCCTTTTTTCCTCTCTGCTTTCTCTTTTGGGAAGAGTACTACTCCTTCTTTGTGTTGTCTCTGGGCTTGATTATCTAATGCCAGTTGCATACCCTGAGTGTGTGTGTGTGTGTGTGTGTGTGTGTGTGTGTGTGTGTGTTAATTTTGCAGTCATTCTGCATTTGTAGTTTTATCTGATGGCAATGATTCAGAGAAAGTTTGAAGTATTTTCCCCAGACACTTAAAATTTGAATAGTATCTCCACTTTTAAGTGAACTGGGGACACACTCCAGCTTATAACTAATTCAATACCTTTGCTCATGTCAAATTTAATTCAACTTGAAATTCACTGATATAATAACTATAATATTAACCACTGTTCTTAACTTGCTGGATTGGAAACTTGTATCAGGTGAATCATTTCCATGATGCTGCTTCAGTGTAATGAGATTGCTTCTCTATCTTTACTACTGCACAATTTAGATTTTTTAAAAAAATACATTTTATTGATTTTTTAGAGGAAGGGAGAGGGATAGAGAGTTAGAAACATCGATGAGAGAAACATCGATCAGCTGCCTCCTGCATGCCCCCGACTGGGGATGTGCCCGCAACCAAGGTACTTGCCCTTGACCGGAATTGAAAATGGGACCCTTCAGTCCACAGGCTGACGCTCTAGCCACTAAGCCAGGGGTGGGCAACCCCTGGCACGCGTGCCAAACATGGCACGCCAGTAACTTTTGCTAGCACGCGACACCCTCTCTTATAATCTTCCATTTACAATTTTTTTCTTAATGTCGACTTTTTTATTTTTCAGATAAATTCAGTGTAGGTACATCTTAGACAAATAAATATTTTTACATAACAAGTTATCTTAAAGACCATAGACATGAATTGACGAAAGCGGGGAAGAGCAATTTCTATGCCTCTGCCTTGACTCTCCCTGCCTTCCTAGATCCGACCAGTGTTTTGGTTTCATCCACATACGCTTGTGAATCTTGGTTCTTAGTGATGAATTTTGTTAAGTCTCGTAATAGGAGTAGCCTGACGGATGAAAGTAGTAGCTCGTGCATATCTCTGAAGGTCACAAAATATAAACCTGTTGTAAAAATCTCTGTCATCAGTGATGCAGCAGCGAAAGTCCCACTGATAATATCAAAAGCAGTCATAAAGTTTTCTGTCAGACTATCAGAGTACATGTATACATTAAAAAATAAATGTATTTTTCATCATCATATACTGTGTTTTTGTCGCTCAAATGAATTTTATTATTTCTTCAAGGTTCTTCACATACGTACACCTTAAGCGATATCAAGTAGGCGTAACATGTTCTCAAAAAATTAGGGTTGGCACGCAGAAGAATTTTGAGTCAGAGATTTTGCTGGTTTTGGCACGCACTCACAAAAAGTTTGCCCACCCCTGCACGAAGCCAAACCGGTTAGGGCACAATTTAGATTTTTAATAGCTTTAGACAGAACTGAACAAAAATTCTGTAATGTGTAACTACTGAAAAGTATTGGTAACATTGTACTATTAAACATTTACTAGTGGCCTGAGAGAGCTTTGCATTGAGTAACTTTGCATGTCCTATGCTACACAAGTGACGGAGTACACCCTAATAATACACTCCCAGAACTTGTTGCAAATAACTTTCATTGTCTCAGCTGATGTCTGAGTCACCATAGTTTCCAAATGAAGTACTGTCAGAAGCAGCCAACTGATACTGGTCAAGCCAAGGATGTCAAAGAAAGGTAAGGGGCAAGGGCAAGGGCAACTAAAATGGTGAAACATTTCAGTTGTGGATTTTTTTTATTTGAATGCTGGGGAGTTTTCTTTCTTTCTTTTTTATTATTCTTCACCTCAGGATATTTTTTTTTATTGGTTTTTAAGAGGGAAGGGAGAGAAGGAGAGAGAGAGAGAGAGAGAGAGAGAGAGAGAGAGAGAGAAATCATAGACTGGTTGCCTTCTCAGGAGCCCAGACCAGGAGTGGGAAGCAAACCCACAACCCAGGTAGTTGCCCTTGACTGGGAATTGAACCCACTTTGGTGCTCGGGCCATGCTCTAACCATTCAGATACACTGGCCAGGTTGGAATTTTTCTTATTATTAAGCTTTTGCATCCATCCCCCTGCTCAGCTATACAGGAAAAAAATAAAAAAGAAAACTGTGATTGGAGAAAATGGGACCCACATAGTTTTGGGAACTCTTTTCTATAAAAATGAAAGTCTAAGAAAAGAGGCTGAGTACTAAACCAGTGTATCTCTAATATAAACAACACAAACAAGTCTCCTCCCCAAGGCTCGCCTTGCCAGGGACATGTTTCTTGAGGGTGTGGCAGCCAGCTCTGCTGAAAGGAGCCTTTAGTCTCTGGATGGCAGCCTGCTCTTCCCAACAAGTAGAATCATGAAGCTTTAATGGGCCATGGTTTTTCATGTGGCGCCTCATTTAAAAAATGTGATTACTTTAAAAAAAGAGATGTTTAAATAGTTTTAGCATTTTTTTTAATAAGTAAATTTATAAAATGCCTGGATCTGTCCTCGAATGAACCCATGGATTATACTTTCTGAATTCTACATTGGGTTATGTTATCGGTTACCTGATCAGGTGCCATTAGTAATATTTTTTTCTCCTCTAACATCAGACTACTGAAACTTTTTGCTAGACTTGCACTTCAGTAATGCTTAGATAATGTGGGCTTCAATTTCATCTTTACATTCATTGTTTTACTCTTCTGCCTTCTCCCTGCAAACCATCCATCCTTCACCCCTCACAGCACCCAGTCATACTCTCGCTCTCCAGCTATTCGTCTGCCCTTCTTCACTCTTCCATTTTTATTCTTTTAGCTAGGTTTATACTCTGCTTTTCTTTCAGGGTCTACTAGAATATCAAATATTTCCTTATAGACCTACCCCCTTATAGTATCATTGAGAAATATTACTCAATGATACTAAACTATGCCAAACATTAGGTAAGAATATTTTCTTTCCACTATAATGTATTAGAGCATCACTTTAATCACAAAATCACTGCTGAATATCTAAGTAGTTTGACATCTTTGATTAATATATTTTGTTTTAAACAGCATAGGATCCATTTGATACACAGAAACACACTGCAATCAGCATTTGATTGCAATTGCTATTTCCTGAAAACGGGGCTAGATAAGAATGTTGCATACAGGACATACCAAGAGTCACATACTCTAACCACCACCCACAAATACACTACATCTTTTAACACCCAAAGACAGAAATTGTAAATAGAAATAGAATTCTGTGAATTTCACCTGCTTGATGTAGACAAATAAAAACAAAACAGAAGAAAAATATCTCCACTGAGAGAGAGAGAGAGAGAGAGAGAGAGAGAGAGAATCTGTGTAAGACAGAAAAGAATATATTCAAAAAACAATCATTAAGAAAAGCAATAAAGAAAACATATATTTATATACCATTTAGAATGACCCTTAATAAATACTGATTTTTGAAGATAAATGTTTTTTTTAATTTTACTTTAAAAATTTTAATATTATTTTTGAATAAATATTAGATTTATATGATTCTTACCAAAAAAGGTACAAAAGGATGTATAGGGAAAAACCTCATTCTCACTAAGTCCCCAGCACCTCAGCTGTGAGTTTCTTACATATATTTCCAGAGGCAGGTATATACAGCACATGTAATCAAATTTGCTTAGTTTTCACCTTCTCTTCCTCTTTAAAACAAATGTTAACTTTTCTTTTCTTGGCTTTATTCACTTAACAATGCATCTTAGAGCTTCTTTCATTAGCCATGATGTACAAATCATGTATGTTGAATCAATTTTAATGTGCATTTGTAACTTTGATATATATCACCAAATTGTTTTTCATAAGAATTATATAAATTTTTATTTTTTACATTCAATATTATTTTGTATTAGTTTTCTATGTACAGCATAGTGGTTAGACAATCATATAACTTTACAAAGTATCTCCCCTGATATTTCAAGTACCCACCTGGCAACATTCATAGTTATGACAATAGATAAATATGTATTTTAAAACTAACAATGGCTCTGGTAGTTAGCATGGATTAGAGAAAAATGCTTTTACTTCAAATAAAGAAAACATATTTCAAAAAGAGTCTGCAATGTGTGTGGTATACACACAGACAGGCAAAAGTGACTGCAGAGTTATATACAGGGTGGGGCAAAAGTAGGTTTACAGTTGTTTGTATGGAAAATAATACAACCATCGATAAATAATTGTACAAGAATAAACTCTGTGTTTTGAGTACTTACAACTATAAATCTACTTTTGCTGCCCCTATATTCATTAGCATGAATAATAGGTTAAAAAATCCATATTATATACTTGATAAAAAATATTTCATTTCTATTCATCAACATTTAAATGCTTACATGCCTCATATTGTATACAGCTTACCTGGTTCATTAATGTATAGCTACATATGGATTTATACATGAATCAATGGGAGTATTAGACAAATTAGCTCCCACCTGTTGTTTTAGCATCTGTAGGGAACATGGTGCCACCCAAAGTTGTCTCCACCTTCTACAGAGCAACAAGGATCCACAGTTGCTCAAGAAAGCTTTGCCTCCCTCACAGCCATCATTCCAGGGCGGAATGCCTGAGGCCTGTTCTATGCGCAACTTTGTTCTAGCAGATAAATGCTGGTTTATTGTGTCTTTATTTTAAGAAAAATATGGCACATGATGAAAGATAAAATTTGAAACAAAATATCTTATGAATTAATCTCTGTGATCTTGACATTGAAAAATTGAGGACAAGGAATGAGGAGAAGAAATATGCCAAAATAGCAAATAAATCATTATCACTAAGTTGAACACTTAAAATAAGCTCTACCTGGCACTGTCTTAGACCGAGACACGCAGATGTTCAAAGGATCAGGAGTAAACACCTGTAATTAATTATAAGGCAGTCATTAAAATTTCAGAAGAGATAATAAGGGATTTCTTTATGAAGAACAATATTGCTTGAAAAATGAACTGTAAATGTTTGCATAAGTTGCTGTTTGGAAACAAACATTCTACTTGGGAATTGTTTCTAAAACAAAGATCCATAAAACGCTATGGACTGTAACTTGTGCAATCTCACATTTTCCTTCCACCCCTCCACCCCTGTGACTGTTCTGCAGATTTTTGACAACCCATAACACATACTTCATCATCATCTTGATGAGTCATTTTAATATGGGCAATTAAAACAAAAATAAGAGGAATGGTATTTATTTGCCTCAAATTGTAATTAATAATTTTATCTGGGTCACGATTAGCTTAGGTCAGAGGCTGGCACTAGTATTTCTAAAACTGGGTAGGGCTTTTGATCTGTGAAGAAACAAAAGAAATAAAGAAGGCCAAAATGAGGCAAATGCCTTGAATTTATGCAGCTCTCCTAAGGAGTTAAAAACTCTGCAATGGCTCATATCTTCCTTTCTATGACACATGGTACTTTCTCTTTAAAGAAACAACCTAGCATGGCCAGTGTTGCTCAGTGGTTAAGCATTGACCTGTGTACCAAGACATCATTGGTTCGATCGATTCCCAGTCAGGACGCTTGCAGGGTTTCGGGCTCAATCCCCAGTAGGGGACGTGCAGAAGGCAGCCAATTGATGTTGATGCTTTTCTTTCATAGACATTTCTCTCCCTCTCCCTTCTTGTCTCTATAAATTCAATAAAAATATATTTTTAAAAAGAGAAAAAGAAACAGCCTAGTCATATGAATTTAATTTCAGAACTGGCCAGGGATCTTTATTTAAGTTATAACGTTCTTCTCATTATGTTATAACTCTATGTGAATTAAAAAATTATGAATTAATAAAGTGAGAAAGGATATTTAAAACCATATTAGTATCTTCTTTTGCATACAGTTTTTAGAGGTAAGTCAGAGAATTTATTATTTGTATGATTATTTTCCAACAAGCTCTAGTGGAATGTATAAATAAGATTCCATATACTCAATCCTATATAATAAAAGCCTAATATGCTAAGTGTTTGGTTGTCTGGTGGTCTGTTCAACCAATCAAAGCATAATATGCTAATGATATGCTAAGGCTGCTAAACAGCTCGCTATGATGTGCACTGACCACTGGGGGCAGACACTCAACACAGTAGCTGCCCTCTGGTGGTCAGTGCACTCCCACAGGGGGAGCACCATTCAGCCAGAAGCCAGGCTCATGGCTGGTGAGTGCAGCAGTGGTGGCGGGAGCCTCTTCCACCTCCGCGGCAGCGCTAAGGATGTCTGACTGCCGGCTTAGGCCCACGGGGAGCGGGGGGGAGGGCTGACCTAAGCTGGCAGTCAGACATCCCCTGAGGGCTCCCCTGAGGTCTCCTGGACTGTGAGAGGGCACAGGCCAGGCTGAGGGACACCCCCCTCACCGCCGCAAGTGCATGAATTTCGTGCACGGGACCTTTAGTCTTGTTATATTATTATACACTATTGTAACATATTACAAAATTATTTGAGATGTACATTATATGTATTATATTATTATAGTAATACTTTTTGTTAAGCTAGTTAGGGGATTGGGTGGGGCTATTCATGTGTAAAATCAAGAAGCAGTGGAGAAAACTCAGTAAAGTTTTTTCTCAAAACACTTTTCCATCAGGACTATACTAAGGCTGTCTATTCCCTTGTAATACTGATGGCCACTCCCACTTTAGCAGAGACCATCTCCTTTTTCAGTGTAAAAATTCATTTCAGTTGCAGCTTATATTCAAGTTTTAGAAAATATAGGGATTGGGATGAGAAAGAGATACTTTTCAGGTACATGCTTTATTCAACCCTAAATGCTATAGTCCTGTTTTCTTTAAAATATATTTTTTATTGATCTCAGAGAGAAAGGGAGAGGGAGAGAGAGACAGAAACATCAATGATGAGAGAGAACCATCGACCAGCTACCTCTTGCATGCCCCACACCGGGGAACGAGCCCACAACCTGGGGATGTGCTTTGACCAGGAATCGAACCATGACTTCCTTGGTTCATAGGCTGATGCTCAACCACTGAGCCATGCTGGCCAGGATGTATTCCTGTTTTTAATGATACCTTTCAAATATTTACCATGAACTTGGCAAAGAGCTTAAATTGATAAACCCATACTTAGCATAAATATATATGTAGGTTCTATGAGGAACAATTAGTAATATTAATTTCAGTAATTTCCGGGGGGAAGAGGAGGCAGAGGGGGAAATGTCAATATTGAATAAAATCATATGGAATTTTATTGTTGCCTTCATCTTTTGAAGTCTATCTCTGAATTTTAACAGGTTCACTTACTTCCAGGGGCTACAGGTGCCTGAATGTGGAGGTTCAAGAGCCCCATCAGCATTGAACCCATGCCTTCATCATGCACAGTATCTTCTGCTCTGAGTGCACCAGAAGCCATCTAACCAACATTACCAGTCATTCTGCTAAGAGATGCTTGTTTATACCTGTTGGGTGTCAGGCACAGCGCTATGTACTGGATGCACAGTGAGAACAAAACAGACCTGCTCCTGCCCTCATGGAGCTTACAAACATTTAAAAAGCACACACAGGAGTATGTATACAATTACCCATTTTGATGAGCACTATGAAGGGAAAATCTGGTGTGTGAGGAGAGAAACCGGGGGGGTGGGAGTCTTCTCAGGGTGAATTCTCAGAGAAGGCCTCTCCAAGAAAAATATAAGAATTAGATATGAAACCCAAATGTGGGTGGACATCAGAATTCTTCCTTGTACAGTGTGTGTTTACCTATTTACACTAATGTCTGCAAGTCAAAGCTAACGCTGAAAGGTTCTTCCTCACTTTGCCCCATTTCATATTTGTAGATCCCTTCTCCCACAGTGAAAAGACCTGGTTCCCCAAACCATTTTTACTCACTTCCTACGGTACATACCACAAAGAGTTTTAAGAATCAATGTAGAACCCTTTTTACCAGGTGGAAGATTACATAGCAAGTGACTTTCATGAGTTCTTACTGACCCCTAGTGTTTTCTTTGTTGCATCTGCAGTTTTCAAGCATCAGGTTTTCACAACCTCAACACTTGACATTCTGTGCCAGATGATTCTCTGTTGTAATGGGCTGTCCTGTGCATTAGTATATACAATCAGTATCCATGGCCTCTACCCACTGGATGTGAACAGCACAACTTCCTCCCTGAGTTGTCACCCTCAATAATGTCTCAGACATTGCTAACAATGCTCCCTGGGGGACAAAATCTTATTGAACTATATGCTGGGTTAAGGCCTGAAAAGCCTCGTTAAAATAAAAATGTAGTATCTTGCAGCAGTAATCAATTAAGTTTTGAGGCAACAAGACCAGGGTTTAAAGCCATGGCAATCTGGAGCCTTAGTTTGCCTCTCTAACGCTCTGCTTCTTCCCCAGTGAAAACCAAAACACTAGCACCAGCTTTGGAAAGTTTTTGTAAGGATTAATTTGATGGCATATATAACACACTTGGTACAATCCCAGGCACATAGTAGAACCTCAATAATTGATTTTGATGAAATTCTTCCAATTTACTTCTGGCAGAAAATAACTTGAATAACTGCCTGTTTTTGCCAAAGTGCTTCTGACTTAAAATCTTCATGGAACCAGGAGTTCCTAATTTAAGATCCCTTTTAGATTCCACTAACGCAGTGGTCGGCAAACTCATTAGTCAACAGAGCCAAATATCAACAGTACAACGATGGAAATTTCTTTTGAGAGCCAAATTTTTTAAACTTAAACTATATAGGTAGGTACATTGTTATAAACTTAATTAGGGTACTCCTAAGGCTTAGGAAGAGCCACACTCAAGGGGCCAAAGAGCCACATGTGGCTCGCAAGCCGCAGTTTGCCAACCACGGCACTAACGTGTTCTCCCATAAAGTGTTAACTGTCACTATCCTCACTCTAGAGCAATGGTTCTCAACCTTGGCTGCACATTAGAATCACGTGGGAATCTTTTTAAAATCCTGATTTCTGAGCCTCATCCTCCAGAAATTCTGTTTCTTTGTTACTAATGTTGTGGCCTCACCCCATAACAAAGAAACAGAATTTCCGGAGGATGAGGCTCAGAAATCAGGATTTTAAAAGGATTCCCAGGTGATTCTAATTTGCAGCCAAGGTTGAGAACCACTGCTCTAGAGGAATACATTTTTTGGAGGGGGGGCAGGTGGCTCTCATACTAAACCACATCAGTTTTTATTTGATGCAAATTAAATACAAATAGCCCTGGCCAGTATGGCTCAGTTGGCTGGAGCGTTGTCCCATGCACCCAAAGGTTGTGGGATTGATTCCTGTTCAGGGCACATACCTAGTCGTTCAATCCCCAGTCAGTGCATACATGGGAGGCCAATGATTGGTGTTTCTCACATTGATGCTTCTCTCTCTCTCTCTCTCTCTCTCAAATCAATTAAACACACACACACACACACACACACACACACACACACACACGCACACACACACACACCAGATTTCCCTCAATATGTCTTAAGGCTACTTCCCAGTGTGAAGATGATCCAGCTTTCTAAATTATTTTTCTGGAATGAGCCTGACCCCTAGAGGACAGGCATTGCATGCAAACCACCAAGAGCCAATGTCAACTGCAGAGTATCAAGGTGGTCAGACAAGGACTGGGGATGGCCTGGTGTGATTGTAGGATCTTAATTCTGAACCAACTAGCTTGAGCACAATTTCATCTCCTTTATCTCAAATATATACATTTTAAAATTATTGACATAAATACATATAATAAACTGCACATGATTAAAATGAACCATTTGGTCAATTTGCTAGTTGTATCCATATCAGCACAATCAAAACCCATTTCCATCACCTTCTAAAGCTCCCTCATTCCCTTTTGTAATCCACTCTGCCTTCATCCCCATCCTCGGACAACCACTGATCTGCCATCTGTCACTGTACAATGAGTTTGCATTTTCTAGAATTTTTATAAATGGAATGACACATCATGTAATCTTTTGAGCCCGGCTTCTTTCACTCAGCCCAGCGATTGTAAGAACAGCTGTGTGGCAGTGATTTGTTCCTTTTTATCGCTGAGTCATAGTACATTGTATAGACTTGAATGTGAGAGTTAAAACTTCTAGAAGAAAATATGGGAGAAAATGTTCGTGACCTTAGGGTAGGCAATGCTTTCTTAAAATGCCAAATGAAGAGAAGATAAGTGAAAAAAAGGTAATTGTATTTTATCAAAGTTAAAACATTTGCTCTTTGAAAGAAGCTATTAAGAAAACAAAAAGGCAAGATTGGGAGCAAGTACTTGTACACATATATCAGATGAATGACTCATATTCAAAGTAATAATGAACTCGAAGACAAAGATTCAAGTTTTAAAAACAGGCAAAACATTTGAGCAGACACTTCACAAAAGGAAATATACATGTGGCCAATGAACACATGAAAAAAGGCTGAGATTTTTCAAACCAGGAAAGTGATAAGTGTATATGGTATTTTCATGCCTCTGAAACTGGGTTAGATCTTACAATGGATGAACCTGCAATTGGTATGCTCCTTTTCATGTAAAGTTAGTATTTTTATTTGTAGAAGCTAATATTTATTTGGCAATGTCCTCAGAACGTTGCCTGCATTGTTTCATTTAATATTCACAAAACCCTGTGAAGGAGGTGCTATATTTAAACCTCTGTTCACTGTTGTTGTTGTTGTTGTTATTGTTATTATTAATTGAATCAAAACATGTATTACTAAAAAAAAACCAACACTGTCTTTGTATAAGCACAAAAATTGGCAAGGACAAATGAAGTGATAATTTAGTCCAACAGGGATGGACAAGGACTGTAGGTTTGAAGGAGGAAGGACGAGATTACAGGATGCCTGGAGGGTTCACAGAAGAAGCACTGGAATCAACATGCCAAGAATGAGGAGTTTGGGTACCTGAGGAATGATTCAGTACCATAAAAACAATTCAATTGAATCAAATTCACACAACATGTACTAAATCCCTGCGTTACTCAAAGCAAAGATGAATTACTTACTGTAAAGTCAGAGCTTAGAGAAGAAGACAGGTATGTACAGCACTACCTGCTGGAATTTGGGATGAAGGAACCAGATATGTATATATATATATACATATATATATATATACACACATATATATATACACACATATATATACATATATATACATATATATACATATATATACATATATATATATTTAAATGTAGAAAGGGAAATTTAAGAATTGCCAAAGCCAAAGGATGCCAAACAGCAAGGATAAAAAACTTGGACACGGAACCAGAAACTGGGAGTCTGGAAGGTATACATAAACATGTTTCAACAACTTGGAAGTAACTGGGTGGGGTGAGATCGGGAATAGAGAGTGGCAAATATTTGGCACGGCTGTTTGTGCTCATAGGTAAGTTTTATGACAGTACCATAAACTTTTCAATTAATATAATGTAAATTCTCATTTTAAACTGAATTTAATAATTAAGGATTTATTAAATTAAATGCATAATTAAGTTAATGAATTACTAATAAATAATCACAACCTCCCCACCTTACTTCCTTCTGTTCTCTTTGCTTCTATTATGTGGGGAGGTTTCTTGCTTCATCGGTGATCTCCATGCAGGAGACACTGAGTAATGCACAGAACACAGAGGAAATGAAAAGAAGCCAGGTGCTAAGTTAACCAACATACGGAGGTGAGGAGAGAGTCTGGATGAATTGTGGAGTGAGGGGATTCTGGATGAATGAGGGAGTGTGACAGTAGAGAGCAAGAGAGTGGGGGCAGAAGAGAAAGGCAAGAGTGACAGTGAGAAGCTGGGGGCAGGGCTGGTGTTGAGAGATTTGGAAAAGAACTGCAAAGGGATCTACAAGGTGGTGCTATGGGTGCCCAACTGGAAACCCTTCCATGTTCTTCCAAGGATGGCAGTAAAGGATGGAACTCCTTTTTGATTATTTCTGGTCAGTACTCTCTGGTCAAAATGCACCATAAGCCACACATTCCTGTTGGTGTCAAATGTAGAACTCTGGTGAGCTTTATCTGGGTGGAATCTTGGGGAGTGGGCATCCAGAAAGACTCAGGGACAGAAACATTTAGAAAAATAAAGATCAACTTTAGACTTCAGAAGGAAAAACTGTGCAAAATCAGCAAGGTTTCCCAATGGACGGTAATCCACTCGTGGTGAAGAATAACTTTCATGAATCCTTGCCTGTTCACAAGGCTCAGGACATAGCTTCAGATATCAAAACAGCAAAAATCAGAAATGCATTGGTTTCTGTTATGGAGTTTAGGTTTATTCCAAGTTTTATTATTTGAAAGACCATCACCAGTTCTGACCATGTTCTTAACGATCTCTGACTGCAATGCGTTTCTTTCCCCCTTTACTTTTGTTTTTAAACACGCCTATTTACATTATCCAAAAAACTCTAAATAAATTATCCAGCATCATCAAAACAGACTTCTGGCTATTTAACAAAACTATAAACAGTGATGTTAACAAGAGAACAAAACTCTGGCTAATAACAAAGCAATACCAATGCAAAATCAAACTACAAACATGTTAACATTTTCAGGATATTCTATCCAGAGTCCTTAGATTTAGCTCCGCAAGATTTTACAGAAAACTGACAGTTCACCAACGCTAGCATAGCTTCCACTTGCTTCTCTAACATATGCTTGGCCTCAGTCACCATTTTCTTCAGCTGACTCCATGCTGATATCTCAGTCACCTGTG